GGGAGCCGCAGTTGCGGCAGCACGTGACTCCTACATGCCGAGAGTGTTGTCGTCGCGGAGACCCTGGAAACGGGTGCCCATCATCGAGACAAGCAATCTGTCGGAAAAACAAAGAGCTCTTGTCGACGCATGGGAGGAGAAAACGGAGTTCGAAGCGGGACGGGTCGGCTTCTACGTGGCCAACTTCGGAGGGACTGCAGCTAGACCCACGCAACGCGCGGACGAGTGGGCGCAGCTCCGCGCGAACCCTGCCCAGATCATCGCCCTCTGCGAGTGCGACGACGAGACCTGCGCGGTACTCAGTGGGGAGCACGACGCGAGGGACAGTGCAGCCGCAGTTGCGGACGATAGGTTTCGGAGTCGGACTCAATACAACTACCTGTGCGTTAAGGGCGGCGAGCCATCAGGGACCCTCCTTGTTGGCATGAGGGACCGCAGTGGCGGCCACATTGAACACGTAGACTTTGCGAGACTCTTCCACAAGCAGGAGAAGTCCAAAACGAAGAAGAAGAAGAAACAGTCCGCAGTTGCGGAGGCTCCTGCGCCAAAGCTGCACAACAAGTACTCCAGGGCGATGGTGGTGCGCGTCCACCTGGACCAGGCCGTGACCCATTTGGGGGGCTCCTTCAACGTCATGGCGGTGCACGTCCACCACAGCTTGGCCAACCAAGACTGGGGCGTCACGAAGCTCCATGAGTTCTACAACTGGTTCGTCGCCTACGTCAGGGAATGGGACGTGAAGGTCTGCATGGGGGACTTCAACATGTGCATGTTCCAGCTTGTGTCCTGGTGCCGCAATTGCGGCCTGACTGTGGACGTCGCCGCGTGGACCCCCTGGAAGACAGCAGGCGGCCAGCCCAGGGCAGACAGCATGGCGATTTTGTTCATAAACTGTCCTGGGCAGTACAAGCTTCACCATGGCCTGAGTGTTCTGCACGACCGTGAGGGCGGATTCTTGACGACCCAGCATGATCCGTCTTTCCCTGTCTTCGACTACACGAATGGCCCTGGGAAGATGCTTCAGACTTACGTGCCCAAGGCTGAGCCCGTTGAAAACAAGATGCGCGCCTTCCTGACGCCATCTGGCGAATCCTTGACCGCAGTTGCGGAGTTCGAGCAAAGGATGGCGCGCAGGGAACGCGACGATTGGGTGCGCCATCCCTTCAGAGTGAAGCAGGGCAACCTCGACGACAAGATATGGCATGGCGCCTTCGGCAGGGCGAGGCACGGAGCGCACTTCCCTCTGGTGGCTTTCACGCACAATACGTGCCGCAGGTCACCTGAAAGACTCGCCGCGAGGTTGGAACGCAGGAAGGGCGGCAGGAAGGGCGGCAAGAAGGGCGGCAAGAAGGGCAGCTACGCGGACACCGCAGTTGCGGGGAAGGGCGTCCGACCCCAGATGGGAACCGCAGTTGCGGGGAGAGACGCTGGGGCTGAGCGAGCTGGGAACACGCCACCGCCGCAAGCTGCCAACGGCGACGATGCGACCCCTTCTTGTGCCGCAGTGGCGGCTGGGTCCTGGGACGCCAGCGGCAGCGGCGCATGGGAGGCGCGCAGTCCCGCCACGAGATGGCAGGGCTGGTCCTGGTGGGACTGGAGCTCGAGCGAATGGGGCGCTGATGGCGCGCAGTGGTGGCCCTCTGATCATGCCGCAGTTGCGGACAATGCCCCTGAGGGCTCGCCTCCTCAGCGTGAAGTCGAGTGGGGCTCGAGCGGGCGACCTGCCGAGCGCCCTCCGTGGAGCTTCGAGGGGCAGCGTTGGTGATGGCCGCAGTTGCGGGCAAGTGGAGCATGATGTTGATTGCCGCAGTTGCGGACAGTGTACGCTGGAAAAATCATCATCATCATCAATCATAATCATCATCATATCATCATATCATACGTTCAAAGCAGTGCCGGGGCACTGCTTTGAACGCGTTCAAAGCAGTGCCGGGGCACTGCTTTCGATCGTCGCCTCGTCGCCGTTATAAGGGCTTTCGGATAGTTGGTCGGCCATTGTAGAGGCATGTTTGCGCGTGGATTCAGTCAGTGAATACCCCGATGTACGGAGCCCTATGTGTGGACCCCGAAATGTGTAGAATGATATGTGTGGCACCCTGTGTGTGAGAGATCCGACATGTGGAGCTATTGTGCTCACCTACTCGTCCAGCGGAGGCCACAGGATATCAACCAGCCACCAGAACGTGCGACGCACACGGCTGGTAGGGCGGGAAGGCATAACGGCCCGAAGGAAGCTTATCCATACGGATCCATCTCTCACCAGAGAGTGCGCCAGATGAGGCTAACCTGGCGGGAAACCATGGGGATCCATAAGAAGCGACGCCATTGAAATTAATTTGCAGCTGCCAGAAGTTGCGCTAGGCAGGGCCAGTGTGGCGGGACGCCTCAGGGATTGCGTCTGACACGGCCACGCTGGCGGAAACCATAGGGACCCAGGGAACACCAAGCCGCAGTGATCTAAAAAGCACCCCGAACCATAATCGGGGACCATTGGCAGAACGAAATCAGTACTGAGACTGTCCTACGTTGGCAAGTAGACTTGTTGTTAATGCAGGTGATGCTTCCCAGATCACGCATGCACTGTTTCAGAGGTGATTGGGTCCGTTTGAACCATCTGGCAGGTGTGAGCTTGCAGTATACCTCATCGGGATACACTTGGCTTCCTCCTCCCCTCACCAACCACCAAACTACTCCAACCCAACCCGAAGGCTTCAATTTGCCCTCCATTTCCACTGGGGGGGGGCGGTCAGGGGGCATGGAGAAAAGACACATGGCACCCGTACCCCCCCCCACCCAAGAATCGGGTCTTCAGGTTGGGTTGGGGTGGTCTGGTAGGTAGTCATCCCCTGGTCATCACCACCATCACCACCATTTATCATCATCCTCCCCATGCTCCCCGCGCTCGGCCTGCTTTCTCCTCCTCTCCCTGCTGCTATGGCCGTGGCCGGCTCGTGGGCCTGGCCATGGGGAGACGGGGCTCTCTCTTGGCAGAGCCGGGGAAACAGAGAGACGACCGTGGCGCACCGTGCTCGCACGCGCCCGGAGTGGAGGAGCAGGCGTTCGAACCCGATGGCCATCCGGGCTGCTCGTGGTCCTCGCGGACTTCGAGAGTTTCTTGTTATGGAGATGTTCGTTCTGACGTGTCCCCCTGGAAGCCTTTATCCACACGATTCGATATCGGTTCTCCCGTCATTCAAGCCCTTCGTGCACAATGGTATTCCAAAATTGGCACGGTTTGTGCGCCCGTGGAGCAATCGAAACACGCTTCCTAACCCGACTTCTGCGCGCTTCGCCCTGACCGAACCGTTCGTCGGGCGGTTGCTTGCTTACTTGCCTGCTTGCTCTGTCTCTCCCAGTCGCTCCCTCTCTCTCTCACTCACTCTCTCTCCCTCTTCTTCCCAACCATCCTGTGGTGTTGGGTCCTTGTTTGAAGAGACAGCGCCCCGCGTCTACTCTCCTCTCCTTCCTCCTCCCCCCCTCCTCCCTCCTCCCCCTCCTTGCCTCTGCCCTCAACATGTACCTGTTTCGGCACAGGCCTCACACGCTTCGTGGCTCCATAGGGAACTCCGCCGAAGGTCCACATGCCAGTGTCCACATGCGCCCACCGCACCCATTTTCGCACACCCCTCTCACGTTTCGTGGCCCCACAGGGGGCTCCACCGCCGGCGCCAGTGGATGCATTCGCATGCGCCCACCGCGCTTATTTTGGCACTCCCTCACACGTTTCGCGGCCCCATAGAGACGTCCACCGACGGCCCCAGTAGTTGCGTTCGCATGCGCCCACCACATTCATTTAGGCACGTTCCTCACACGTTCCGTGGCCTCACAGGGAGCTCCACCGACGGTCCCAGTGGCTGCTTCGTATGCGTCCACCGCACCCATTTTGGCACACCCCTCAAACGTTTCGTGGCCCCAAATGCAGAGAGCTCTACCGAAGGCGCCAGTGACTGCGTTCGCATGCGCCCACCGCAACCATTCTTGGCACACCCCTATACACGTTTCGTGGCTCCGTAGGGCTCCACCGACGGCCCCAGTGGCTGCGTTCGCATGCGCCCACCGCATTCATTTTGGCACGCCCCTCACACGCTTCGTGGCATCGTAGGGAGCTCCACCGAAGGTCCACATGCCAGCACTCGCATGCGCCTACCGCACCCATTTCGGCACACCCCTATCATGTATCACGGCCCCATGGAGAGCTCCACCGAAGGTCCCGGTGGCTGCGTTCGCGTGTGCCCACCGCACCCATTTAAGCATTCCCCGCACACGTTTCGTTGCCCCATGCGGGGCTTCACCGACGGCCTCAGTGGCTGCGTTCACATGCGCCCACCGCACCTGTTCCAGCACGCTCCTCACACACGTTTCGTGGCCCCATGCGGAGCCCCACCGACGGCCCCAGTGGCTGCGTTCGGATGCGCCCACCGTCCCCGATTCTGGAACACCCTCAGACGTATCGTGGCCCCATAGGGAGCTCCACCGAAGTCGCTCGTGGCTGCATTTGCATGCGTCCACAGCACCCATTTATGGCACACCCCTCACACGTTCCGTGGCCTCACTGGGAGCTCCACCGACGGCCCCAGTGGCTGCTTTCGCATGCGTCCACCGCACCCATTTTGGCACACCCCCCACACGCTTCATGGCTCCATAGGGAGCTCATCCGAATGCGGTGCATACAACGGCTGTGCTCCCAACTGCATATGGTTTGGTCCTTCGCCAGGCTAATGTTTCTGTTTCCTTTAACTGTTCTCGCGGCATCTCTCTTTCTCCCTCTTTCTCTCGTTCTGTCTGTTTTTTTTTGTCTTCTCTCTCTATATATATGTATATGCAGTGGTTTGTTGTTCCTATCTTTCTCTCTCGCTCTCTCTCTCTCTTGATTGTCCGTCTCCTCTCACTTAAGAAGCTAATGGGTCCGTGGACGTCAAGGAGCCAAGGCGGCCATTGAAACCCAGAGTTACGAACGATTCTAGAACAGCATCATCGTTACATCTCGCTCTGTTCATGCCATGAGGGTGGGCTAGCGTAGGACCGTGGGGCGAGAGTGCTGCCAACCCCCGCAAGCATCCTCCCACTGGTACTGGAGGCAAATAGCTCGAACCGCGTCTGCAACTCGCTGGCGCTGCTGCAGATAGTGGCTGCAGACCGCGAGACCCGCCCGCTGTTCCTGAAGGCCAGCATCGGGATCCGAAAGGGGAGCACGACGAGACGGCGTCTTGGGCTGGACTGCTCGTTGTCCAGAAGAGGGCCTCTGTTGAGCTGGACGCGAGTTGTGTTGATCCGTGACGCCCGCAACAGCAGCATCACGTGCCGGGTTTGCAGCTCGTGTCGCTTTGACGGGTCGTGTCTTCGAGGTTGCGTGTTTCTGAACGGTTGCGAGGCATTCCCTGTGAGAGTTTTCCCCCTTTCAGAAGCCAGGCGAAGGCCGACAAATCAAATCCGTGGCTGCTAAAACGGAGCTCCAGGAAATTGTTTTGGTTCGTCCGAGAAGCAACCCGTTTATCTTTCAGAGCGCTGAGTTGTATTCCAGGAGTCTGTTTTTTTCTTCGAGGAAGGCCGTTTTAGCAGCCACGGATTTGCCAGCCCTCGCCCAGCTTCCGACCCTTGCTGTTCCTGCTTCTCCAGCGGTCAGTCGGCCAGACTGTACCAGTTGTGCATCAACGGCGCCTTGCTGGTGTCTCGATGGGTCTGATGGGCCGCGGTGCTTGACGTCCTATGTGGGTGGCCAATCGTGACGTCCGCTTGGTGTCCGACGTGGTGTCCTGAATCCAGCACAGCGGATTCATCATATCAGCGTAAATCGAAACCGGAGAGAGAGAGAGAGGGGGAGAGAGAGAGCTGAATTTAAAGTACCTGTATCGAAGGTGAGGGGGTGAGATAGCAGATTATCGGAGGGCCCGTCCACGGGGAAATCGGTTTCGGTTTCGTATTCGTGGAGTGCGTGTGGGCGAGCCGAACCTGCGTTGGCGGGTGAGAGGAATGAACCCTCCTCTGGCTAGGGCGCCGCTGGGCCAAAAGACCGCTTCCTCCCCAGGGTTGGGCAGCGGTGGCCGGGTCGTCCCACCGTGGTGTCTTGATGGTGACCCGTGGTGTCCCTTAGTGTCCCGCGGTGGCCCGCTGTGTCCCGTGGCGCGATGTCCCGTGGTGTTCCGCGTGGTGTCCCGTGAGGTCTGGTGAGATCGATAGCGAGGTCGATAGTGATCGCGTTGGTGAGATCGATCGTGAGATCTACAGCAAGATGGATAGGATAGTAAGATGGATAGTGAAATGGATAGTGAGATCGATAATGAGATCGATCGTGAAATCGATACTTAGATTAGTAGTGAGATCGATAGTGAGATCGAGAGTGCGATCGATAGTGAGATCGATAGTGAGATCGATTGTGATATTCTGGTGCGATCGAGTGTGAAGTCGAACGATATCGATACTGAGATCGATACTGAGCTCGTTACTGTGATTGACCGAGTGAGATCGAGTGTGAGGTCGATGGTGAGATCGACCGTGATACCGATATTCGTATCAAGAGTGAGTTTGGTTTTGAGATCGATAGTGAGATAAGTCGTCAGACCGATCGAGTGATATCGATAGTGATATTGTCAGTGATATCGATGGTGACATCGATGGTAAGATCGATAGTGCGATCAATAGTAAGATCGATAGTGATACTGCTACTGAGATGCTTTGCGAGATCGATCGTGAGATCGATAATGAGTTTGGTGCTGATATCGGCATTCACACACAGGCACACACACATATATATATATATGTATACACATAGATATGTATCGGAGTCGGAGTAGGCGGGGGGGGGGCCGTGCCGGTGCCGTACCCCCCAATGGGGGTATTGGGGGGGGTCCCAGGGCTCCCGGGACTGCCCAGGTCCGCTCCCAAACACGCCACGACACGCCAATAGAGGGCCCTAAAGATTGCCAAGACAGCCCCAAGAGGCCCCAGACACGCCGAAGAAGGCCTCAGGACGGCCGACGACGCCGCCAAAACTCCTCAAGAGCGCCTCCAGAGGCCCCTCCAAAGGGCCCCAGGAGCCGAACATCATCCATTTTGCCATAGTTTTTGAAGCATATTTGCGCTCTCGCATGTTCCGCCTCCCCACGGTCCCGGACGGCGTCAGAGGTCCTTCAGATCGCTCCAAGACGGCCCAACAGGCTCCCAAGAAAGCCCAGAGACGGCCCAGGAGGCCCCCCAGATAATTCAAGAGGGCCTCGAGAGCGCCCCAAGAGAGCCCCAAGAGCGACCCAAGAGGGCCCGAAGAGTGCGACATTTCAAGGTCTGCGGCCTGAGATGCTCCTAGGACGCCCCCAGAGGCCATCAAGAGACTCTGAAGAAGCCCCATGAGGCTCCCAAGAGGCCGCCCAGAAGCCCCAATAGGCCCCCAAGGGGCCCCCAGGGAAGCCCCCTGCGGGCCCCCAAGACACCCCGGTAAATCGTATTTCCCAGAGCTTTCCGGGAACATGATTCATTGGGCTTCTGCCCACCGCCCCAACCATGTTTCCAATAGGCTTGCCGACAATGCCACAAGGGGCCCCTGTGTAAGCCCCCAGAGGCCCCGCTCTTAAGAGAGCCGAACAAATCATGCTCCCGGACAGCTTCTCGGGAACATGATTCTCGGGTTGCTGCCCTCCGCCGAAACCATGTTCCCTAAACGCCTGCCAGGACAAACAAAAACGAGAGTCCCAAGCAGCGCTACCTGTCGCCACCCTCGGAAACGCGTCAGTCCCCAAAGCCTCCAGAGGTGCCTAACGACACCCCAACAAGTCATGTTCCCAGGATGCCTTCCGGGAACCTGATTCCTCAGGCTTCCGCCCCCGGCTCCAACCATGCGTCCCAAAATGCTTGCCGGGCAGCCCCCCGTGGGCCCTCATACACGCCATCATGTTACCAGAAAGCCCTCCGACAACATGATTCCTCAGGCTTCCGCTCCCCGCACGCAACATCTGCCCCAAAGCGCTTGTCAAGCAGGACTCGAATGGGTCCTCAAGCTTTCCTTGGAGCCCCACAATATGTTGATGACGATGACGATGATGATGATGATGATGATGATGATGATGATGATGATGATGATGATGATGATGATGACGATGACGATGACGACGATGACGATGATGCTGATGATGATGCTGATGATGATGATGATGATGACGACGAAGGTGACGATGATGATGGTGATGGTGGTGGTGACGGTTGTGATGACGCTGGCGACGATATCCACGACCACGCTTATGATGATGAGGAGGAGGGTGACGATGCGGAGGATAATGTTGGTGTGGACGTTGATGCTCATGATGATGCTGCTGATGATGGTGATGCTGAGGCGGACGACGAGGACGACGACGACAACGACGACGATGATGATATGTATGATGATGATGATGATGATGATGATGATGATGATGATGATGATGATGATGATGATGATGATGCTGATGATGCTGATGATGATGATGATGATGATGGTGACGATGCTGCTGATGATGATGATGCTGATGATGATGATGATGATGCTGATGCTGATGCTGATGCAGATGATGATGATGATGATGATGATGATGATGATGATGATGATGATGATGATGATGATGATGATTATGATGATGGCGACGACGATGCCGATAGCGATTGCGATGACGATGACGAAGCTGAGGATGAGGATGACCGCCCAACGACGTCCCAGGAAGTCCCCACGGGTCCCCAAAGGGAAGCCCCCCGGTGCCCCCCGAGACAGCCCAACACTTCATTTCCCCGTGGAGCTTGTAGGGAACACGATCTCTTATGCCTCCGTCCCCCCAGACCACCGCGAGGACAAGGACAAAGACGAGGGAAAGGACGAGAGGAGCAGGACGAGGAGTTGGAGAAACGGAACGGGCGGGAGAGGATAGGGCGACAGGCGCTGCGCCCCGCGCGCGCCGCGACGCTTCCCGAGGGAGACGGGCGGGGAGGCGGAACCGGACGGGACGGAGGAGAAAGGAGAGGAGGGGGGGGGGAAAGGAAGAGGAAGAGGAGGACGAGAAGAAAAACCGGGAGCAGTGGCAGGAGCGGGAAGGTCAGGAGGAGCAACCCAGGGCCGTTTTTTTTGTCTTGGGCCGATTCAGGGCGCTGTTGGATTTCAAAAAGGGCTTCCCAGGGCCTCCAGCGACGATGACGTGCCCGACCCTGGATCGTCCAACTGGGGCCGCGCATGACGACGACGACGACAACGACGACGACGACGACGACGAGAGGCAGGCGGAACTGGGAGGTGGAACAGGGGACAGAGGCGCAGGGCAGAGGGCAGCCAGCCGTCGTCGGAATCGCCGTCGTCACCGTCGTCGCCGTCGCCGTCGCCGTCGCCGTCGCCGTCGCCGTCGTCGCGGTCGTCGTGATCGTCGACGATGATGTTGACGACGGCGATGACGATGGTGTCGATTGCGGTGGTGACGGGTTTGATGGTGTCGGTGGTGATAGCGACGGTGATGATGACGATGTCGATGGAGAGGATGGCGATGAGCTGGTGACTGTGACGGTTGCGAAGATCTAAGCTAGAACTTGAGCGCACGCGAAGCGCGCGCGATGGTTATACTAAATACATGTTGGGAGATCTGTAGTGAGATCGATAACCCCCTGCCCCCGATAATAAAGAACCCTCCTGAATGCCTGAGTATGTGTCGTCCGTGTCAACAGGATTTAATAGTGGAGAGGGGCGGCAAGGCCGAACTTGATAATCCCCCGGGGGAAGTTTGCGAACCGAAGCTGCTATCATCTTGTATTGACGAGCAACATCGTTGGGCGTTGCAATGGTGGTCTCACCATTTCAGCTTTCGCAATAACGAGCGCGTGGCAGGGCTATGGCATTCTCACCATCTCAGTTTTCCCAAGTCACGAACGCGCGGATCGCCCAAACCCGAGGTCAGTCGAGCCAGTTTTGTGCCAATGTTTACAAAGTCAGAGTGCACGAGCGCCCGAACTCGAGATCAGTCGAGTCAGTTTTGTGCCAATATCTACAAGCTCAGTCTACACGAGCGCCCAGGATCATCATCGCATGCATCATCCGCCGGGAAAACCGTTGATTATCCCCGCCAGGCCTCCGAATTTTATGATCCCCCGGGGGTTATTATCAGACACAGGGGGTTGGTGATATCGATGTTGATGTCGATAGTGGTACCGATATTGACATCGATA